TGATTCTTAATAAAACTTATGAGACTGATTGCCCTTCCTACGGGAGATAGCCTGCCTCGGAGAGCGTTCGCTATACCCAGCTCACATGCAACCTGTATCTGCAGACTAAGACTTGACTTAAACAGTTTTGGAAGGTGTTATGAACAATTTACACTTCTGAACCACTTTATAAATGTCAGAATTTTAATTACTTACTAAAACCATCTCCTGTATTTATAACTTTTTCTGCTTCACAGACAGCTAAGGAGAGCTCCAGCTAAGTTAAAGAAAACGTCCAAGGTTAATGACGGAACTAAGAATAGAACCTTTTGGTCTCATTTTCCAGTTGGCTGCTCCTATTACAAGGAAATATTATTTGTCTTGTTTGCTAGAGCAAACCTTACAGCCTTGGTACGTACAGATATGGAAAATTATTTCCCTGGTGACTTTGTAAGACAAGCAAATTGCTAACCATAACGGGATGAGTCACTCTGTCGCAGTCATGGCAACGTCGAAGGAACATCAATCTGGGATCGGAGCTAAGCATTGGCCTGAAATTTCCTTGCAGTTTTACATTACATACATTAGATTTTCTTTCACAAAAATGCAATGTTTTCCTTTAAAAGAGACTTGTGCATCCGTCTGAGGGAGAAGTCAATACAAACCACATCTCTCCATCGACAACAGACCCAACCTTCAATGATCAACCTACTGTGCAGGGCAGCCAGAGCAGCTCTCAAATAATTCAGTACAAGTGGGGAGAATTCAAAACCAACAGACAAAAAAAATCATCACCATCCTTCAGGTTTCCAAGCATCTTTATTCTAAACCCCTCCCAGTAACAGGGCACAAGAAGGAGCAGCACAGCTCGATACAGCCCGAGAGACTATGACGAGGAGCGAGAGGACGTGAGAGAGGACCTGGGGTGGCAACGGAGGGGGCTGGTTTAGCTTGGGGAGAAGGAGGAAGCAACCAGAAATCAGCTCTTGGGCTAAGAGGTCTCAGAGAGGGATTGAAGGGAAAGTTATTCCAAGCGTGCCTGGAGGAGATGGAGGCAGGAGAAGGCAGGTAACAGGGCACTGGCAGGCGGGTACCTCAGCACGGACACCTGGGCAGTGATTCAGCCGTCACTTATTCCCACCCTACCTATTTAGCTGTATTTCATGGGAAAAGCTCTGGGAGCTGGCAGTGAGGGTTTGGGCAGAGGGGGAAGGCAGGCGCTCTGGCAGCGCTGCTGGGCAAACCAGGCTGACCTGGAAGAGACACTGAGTTTTCAATACTGCGGTGTGCCATACGGCCTCCGGCGCCGGCCCCGGCGCAGCTGAGCCGGGGACAGGCTGGGTACTGTTTTTCCAAAAGTAGGCAAGACTTCCAGCCCCTCTCCCACGCGAACGCCAGTCTTTCCCAGGCACGGTGCGAGAGCGCAGCGCGCTTCCCAGACATCTGTACATGCAAAACTGCCTCATTTCCACAGTGTCACCGTCACCCAGGGCTAGACAGCCTTCACAGCACAGTCGGAAGCGTCTGGTGTGCTCATCCCTACGGCACATCCTGAATTTTACAGTCTCTTCTAGCACCCATCCACCCAGCCCTGCAAACACATACGCCGCTCTCCACAGCCACCGAGCCGCAGCCCAATCCACTGGCGCAGAACCAGGCGGTTTGGCTTCAAGGTTTGAAGAAAAATCTGCACTGCAAAAAGGCAGCGAGTTGGAGTCCAGACTTGTCCAAGAACACCAGGAGGTTTGTAAATTAGGGGAGAATCATTAATTGCCTGCAAAGTAAATGCCACTTTTTGACCCCTTGTACTAGGGAAAGCGCCAAACTTCTTTTGGTTTGCAACGAAGTTGAATTTATCCTTCCTCACGATTAGAAACCAGCAGCGAGCGGATCCTGCTCAGTTAATCACAGTTAATCACTTCAACCAAAAACGAGAGGCAGAAACATCGATTAGGCACTCCTGTTGTAGGCCAGGCGTGAGCAGAGCGGTGCCGTTGAAATTGCCACAGCGCAGGTTAAACTTGTCCTTGTGACACGGAGCGCGCTTTCCGACCCGCTGCTGCCGTCTCAAGCTGTGAAATGACTCAGAAAGGTCGCGAGGCTTTGCCAGCAACCTAAATATACACCTACAGGGTCTCACAGCGGGAGTCTGGGCTCCAGAGCCTTGGGTCTAAAGACTCAAGGTCAGGTTTTGAAGTTTGACTGAAGGTCAAACTTAAAAAAAAACAAAACAAAAAACACCCACAACACAGAAAACAATATTTACCCTCCTGAGCTTATGCAAAGAAAACTAACCTTACAGGGCTAACCACCTGAGCATTTCTCCGTCTCAAAAGCTACGTGGGATTCCAGGTGCATCAGTACCATTCTCCAAAAGCCCTGAAACCCCTCCTGCTCTCACAGATCCCACTGCAACTGTAAATTCATGAAACCTGTCCCAGAGCAGGACATTCAGTTGAGACACATTTTGCAAGGGAAATACAACGTTGTTTCTCTTCCTTCCACCTACTCACCTTTTCAGATTAACTCGTGAGAACACTTTCGTGGAGGGCAAAACGGGATAAAGAGTATTTCTCTTTCTCAAATGGCGTTAGAGAGCACTTTGCTCGGCACAATTCCACCTCTCTGACCCAGCTTATCGCTTACCACCTCATCTACCTAGAAACACGTCGTCTTCCTGGCTGGTTCTGAATCAACTCCATCCCCTGTAAGACCCACTCGAGCTCTCTTAGCAGCCTCCAATCCAATCCCCCCAGCTCCCTCGTATTGAACGTAAAAGTCTGCTGCTGCGTCTGCTCTGGGAAACCATTAATTTTCCCTCTGCTTAACTACTGTTAAATTACTGAACAGACCTGCAGCCTCTGCATTGCAGGGTAAGGACTAAACTTCACGTTCCCAGCGGGGCTGCCTTTGCCTACTTCAGGATGACCAATTCCGGTTTCAAAACAAACGTCCTTCAGGGATGGGACGGGGTGGCATTACAGCTCTGCATCACCTGCCAGCGACGGTGCAAGCGCACGCTGACTACTGTTTCCATCTCCGGTCTTAGCTGCTACCCTGAGCACCACTTGCTTCACAGCCACTGTAATTCCCACACCGAGAGGTTATGGTCACTCTGCAGTGTTGAGTCTCCAATAATCCTTTTAAATATTTCAACCTATTATCCACAC